GAGACGTCCAAATGCACTCAGCAACGGGGCGCCCGGACAGAAGCAGAGGGGCGCCCAAAGTCCGCGAGAGAACCCAAGCCCAAGCCCAAGCGCCTCAAGTTATCCATGCCCTAGCAGGGCTAGACCCCTGAATCTATGACATGAGATGCTCACAAACCTACATGGATGGGTAACAAAGGCATGAGTAGACGTGTCCACTGCAATCCGAGCAGAGACACCGACGCGCGTAGGTAAAGCGCACCAAGAGGATATAGCGGTGTGCCCTGAGTCCAGATAGAGGGGTACTGAAAACCTAGGTAACTGGGCACCCCAAACCAAACAAGGCCTATCCTGGTCCATTGCTGGATGACAGGCTACCTTTCGGAACTTCTCCCAAGAACCCCTTCATGTAAGACACGATATAATTTCCCAATTTAACTTGGTCCACAGCAAACTGAAGCAGATTTCTAACTGCTAGCGTGATGGACTAGAGACGGCCTGCCTCATGCTAGTCCATCTCACGTGTCAGGTTCGTGTAGATATTGTCTCTTATCCAGCACCTCACACTCACCAACGCTTACTCAACACCACAATGTCCATGTGTACAACACAAAGCAGCCTTGCGTCTTCGAGTCTATAAGAGTATGAACATGCATAGTAACAAACGGTTGGCCTTGTATACTAGCTCCAATCCGAAACGAGTCACGATTGCGTGACACAGAAATTATGTGATTAATAGCCAACGGGAAGTGAGTGAGACAATGTACGATTGGCTGCTAAACCACTAATGATCGTCCTGCGATTCCGGAACTGTACAATGCAACAAACGGCTCCTGAGGCACCGCGGATTACTTTTTAAGGGGAGCGTATCTAGTCAAGTAAGGATTTTTGACTGTGCACGTACAATGGTAGGGGATTTCGATTTACAAATTTTGGTGTCATTGGTTGCTACAAATTCGCCTCCACTGAAGAGATATTGCTGCAGCCCCAAATTCTCTTCCCTTTGTATGGAAGAACCAATTTATCGGGTAGACCACAAGCAATATTCACTAATTATTACCATCTACTACCATCTATTACCATCATACCACTAATCACCATCGGCATCATTGAGAAGGCATCACTGGCTCTAGCCAAAGGCTTTTCGAAGATGTCGCTTGTCAGCGCTGACAGCAGCTTGCGAACGCGGCGACATCGGTGGCCATTATGCTGACTTTTTTGTTTGCATTCAGCTCAGGCCTGCGAGTGTACGGGTTTAGACGTGTGGTAAGGCTGGTCAGCTGATACGCACCAATTCTTGTCGGCCTACTATAAGCTGAGATGAGGAACAAGGATTGCGTCGTGTCAATCGGCCGCACCAGGCTCTAGGGAAATGCGATTCTTCTACGTTGTTTACCAACCACAATAATGGCCACGTCTCTAGGGCGCAGTTACTCGCCACAGACAAGCCGGTGCATTCATCCTTTCCTGCCAGCTGATTGGTTTATCTTTTAGGATTGCATTTGTTCACGCACAGCTATCGATAGGATCGATAAAAATAAGTAAATCAAAACTGCTGCAGGACCCAAATGCACATTTAGCAACCAAAATTGACTATCGATAATTGCCAAACTCCCCTTAGGAGTGTATTGAGAAAACCAAGAACATTAGACACACTCCCTTTAAAAAGAGTGTCCCATCTTTGGGGCCTATTTGAAAAACATACGCCAGTGAAACCTAAAGACTAGTTAGCATAATAATACCACTGGGTAGTGCCAGTGCAGCACCGTCAAGACATACTACGGATATAGATTTTAATCATTTTCGAGACCAAATTACGCCGCCAACGTTTTCAATAGCATAGCGCTTCTTCCTTGTAGTCACGACCACCGTCGTCATGACAACCACCGTGCGCACCGCCCCTGGTGTGAATAAAAGAACGTTAGTGATTGGCCCAGCGGGCACCAGCCTGTTACTGAAAAGTCGGCTGTTTGAAATTTGAAACAGTGCGTTGCATCGATCATGTGATACTCTCATTCCCAAAGCCAAAGTGCGCATCGAAAACGCCATAGCGGAGAAATCAAAGACGTGCTAGATAACGACACGCTCAATTTGCGGGGTAAAAGCTTCGTGTTCGCATGTCTTTTTGTCTACACAGAGTGTTCCAAGCTTGCGTAACATTCATTGCACACAGATTTTTACACATTATCGTGTGTCAAACATTACAGAGCGCAAACGCAAAAAAATCAAGGCGAATAAAATGCATTACTTTCATATTGATGGGCAGAGAGACAAATAAGATTGCTCCGCAGGGTTGGCTGCTTCAAATAAAAATTCTGAGCTCCTCAGGACTTCCGAGAAAAATGGCATTGCTGATCAAATCTTACGCGCCTGGTGTCACTCTAAGTGACCACTACAGAAAAGACAAAATATCGAATCGACTTACTGATGACATGCATAGTTTAGGTTCCGCCGGAACAGAAGGCATTTGGTGAATCTGTTTGCCCCATGCCTGGGCTTGAAGGGGGGGGGGGGGGGGGGGCGTTTAGTGGCTGCACATATTCACCAGGCGGCTGGCTGACAGAGCGGCGCGCCGCCCGACCGAGGGTGAGTCATTCAGCCGGCGGGCCCGGCGAATACAGCCGGTTAATTCTGTGTGACTAACGGAAGGCGGCTGGCACAGGGGCACGAAGCACACTGTTTGATGATGATTTTATTGGATTTTCATGTTTGTTACACATACAGTAGCTACACATAGAATATTTGCCACCCTCCTGGGGAACCATGACCAGTTGCTGAAGGCATGTTGGGCATGCACAATGGAAACAAACCCTGAACACGGAAGCCCCGCTTCTGAGAGTTCAACATCATGCCAGACAGAGCGCCACAATTAAACTTCAAAGCTGTACCCGATGCCGATCCCTGAACACCGCTCGCCGATCGAAAACGAAATGACTGATGACTGTGACTGCTGACTGACTGATGACTAATGACTGGTGCGATGGCATCCCGACACGAGATGTATCGATTGTTCCTGAAGAGCGCCAAGCGTGCGAGTGATCATTGGTTTAGGTATCGAATGGATACATGCGAATAAATGGTACGACCGTCCGTAGTGCTACATACATACACAATAACTTCCAACGTATTGTAGAAATCCCTGAATAATACATTCATTCCAGTCCGCCAGTTATGGATTTTGCTGATGTGAACATCAGAACTCCTCTCAACTGTGCAAACCCCGGATTATTGATAACTCGTTGGTTCGACCAACTGTATCGGAAAATTGCATAGGCGTCTGTCAAAAATGAACGTAAGAAGAAATCCACCAGTAAAAATTAACTGGGACCGACTGGAAATATGTCAAACAACACCTATTCGGCAATACATGCAATTCGCGTCTGGTCATGTATGCAAGGACTGCACAGCAGGGGGGGGGGAGGGGCAGAGGGGGCAGTTGCCCTTCCTTGCCAGGAAGGGGGATAAGAGCATGCTTTTGCACCCCCAATTTTCAGGAGGCCCCTTTTTGCCCAACTAAAGGCATAGTGCCCACACTCTACTAAAATGCAAATGAAGGAGCCCCCCCCCCCTCATAAATGGACAAGAGATTAGGGAATCCGGCTCAGAAGACCCTTTGCTGCATCAAGAGACTCGCTATCTGGGTCCTGAAGTCACTTTTATGAGTAATACCGCCGATGAACTACATCAGGAGGCCTAATGTTATGAGTAATACCGCCGATGAACTGCATGGGGAGGCCTAACGTTATGTTAAGAAGACTCATTTGCTAGATCGGAAGGCCCCCGCTACAAACTAGGCAGCCGCTGTTCTGGGTTAGGAGGCACCCTCTATATTTAGGAGACATCATTTCGTGATCAACATATCTTGTTTTGGGATAGCGAAGCCCATTGGCTAGATTTGGCTTTCGTGGATCGTAAGCATGTTGCTCTAGATGGGAAGGCTCCTCCATCCAGTATGAGGCCATTTTCGGGAACAGGAGCCCCTGTTTTGAGAAATCAAGGCCCTTCGCTGGATGACTGAATGCCCACAATCTTTCTTTTCAACTTTCGGCATTTATTCACTTGGATATGATGCATGCAACAGTATAATAAGGGATACATGCTCTCGGCGCCACTCCCTGCTGAAAACGATGCTGCACAGGAGGACATCCTGTGAGTGGGCCTCATTTCGTCCAGGAGGCCCCCTGAAAAATCCTGCCCCCCAACTCAGAACACGTGGCGCCGGCCGCGCATGTTGCGCTTATGTTTTATTCATGGCCAATACTAGGTCGAGGACGGGTTTGATTGGAGATTTGCCAAGCAGGGCAGAAGATGACCCCGTTATAATCAAAACTACTGTCATTAATCGGGCTACAACCAGTAACTTAAATCATGAATCACAATAATTTCACTACTAGAAGCGCCTGCGTCGTGCTTTACACAGAGGAACCCCTCGAACATTTAGCAGCGGAAGTAAAAAAGGCACGAATTCGCAATGTCGGCTAACTTTCCGATATTTTGGAAATTTACGTGTTCCCAGTCATGTTCTCATGACCACACCGAATGCCTGAGTAGTACAGCAGAGTTACCTCTTTGCATACGTAGGGATGAATTCCATGCAAATCGAACGTCGTCTGTGTTGCCGTTAGTGATAGTTGATGTAAAAGTGCATCTTGCGACAATTTTTGTTATCATTTCAGCAAGATTCCTCGTCAGGCAAAAAATATGTCATAGGGTAGCAACACCGAAGTTGATGCCATATCTATATATATTACACCAGACACTGGAGAGCGATGGTTGCACATTGAGGTGCTGCCAGACCCCCCCCCCCCCCCCACCCGACACCCAGACAGGCACTTTTAAATGGCGCCCAAAAAAGCACATGAAATCCCCTCAAAGTTCTGCAGTCCTCTTACAAAAATTATCGTTGCGCGCCGCAATACAAACACCATCCTAACAACGGCCTTCACCATGACAACCGCTTGCGGGCCCACTTTAAGCAGTCAGAGCACGCGGTGCGGTGCGGCCGATCGCCTGTGCCTTACTTTGAGAGTTGGTCTGACCCATGACACCGATGTCCTGAGCTTCAACTTTCAAATCCTTCGACAGGCAGCCACCCATGCCGGCTCGGTCACCGGACGCCCAGACTCTGAAAAGGACGCGACATCAGTTGGCAGAACAGGCCGACCTTTGCGGCAGCCGCACCCAGACCGGAGCGAACCGGCCACAAGAGGGTCGGGGGCACTGTCTCGTCAGTCCAAACCTGTGCGCCACCGACCCAGGGCGGTGAGCTGCGGCACTGCCACGAAGCGCCGAAGGTGCGAGCGCCGCCTTCCACCGCAAGACTCACTGGTGCTGACAAGCAGCAGCACCTGTCAGCAGCCCTCAGCTACAGACAGCTTGAGCAAACTCGGAGCACCCGTCACAGACGCGGCGAGCATTTTACGTCGCTGACTGCATCATGCATGCTCGCATTCTCCGTGCACTAAGCGGAACGTCCCAGTCTTGAATTCAGTTCTGTTTATCTAGCTAGCTGTTTTGTTTGCGCAGCTGTATTCTGATGCTTCAAGACGATCCAAATTCATAGCCCGTAACTGATGCAATATTAACATCAAACGTCCGGGCGTATGCGCGTTTGGGGTGACATGAATGTGTGGGGGGCTGTCATGAGCATATGTTGATCATATGCGACCACGCTATGCAGGCAAGTGGTGCCGCTCCATTCGTGTAATCAGCTGCTGCAAGCATGACGCGGTGCCGGAAGTCCTTCCGTGTAGCGCTGCTCTGGACCCCGGGCCGCCCGGGCGGAGGAAGGCCCTGGACCCCGAGCCGCCCAGACGGAGGAAAGCTCTGGAATCCGAGCCGACCAGACGGAGGAAAGCTCTGGAATCCGTGCCGCCCGGGCGGAGGAAGGCCCTGGATCCCGAGCCGCCCAGACGGAGGAAAGGTCTGGAATCCGAGCCGCCCGGACGGAGGAAGGCCCTGGATCCCGAGTCGCCCAGACGGAGGAAAGCTCTGGAATCCGAGCCGCCCAGACGGAGGAAAGCTCTGGAATCCGAGCCGCCCGGGCGGAGGAGGCCCTGGATCCCGAGCCGCCCAGACGGAGGAAAGGTCTGGAATCCCAGCCGCCCGGAGGGAGGAAAGCTCTGGAATCCGAGCCGCCGGAAGGAGGAAGGCCCTAGAACCCGAGCCGCCCGGACGGAGGAAGATCCTGGAACCCAAGCCGCCCGGACGGTGGAAGGCCCTGGACCCCGAGCCGCCCGGACGGAGGAAAGCCTTGGAATCCCAGCCGCCCGGAAGGAGGAAAGCTCTGGAATCCGAGCCGCCGGAAGGAGGAAGGCCCTAGAACCCGAGCCGCCCGGACGGAGGAAGATCCTGGAATCCAAGCGGCCCGGACGGTGGAAGGCCCTGGATCCCGAGCCGCCCGAACGGGAGGAAGCGTCCCCCGCCTCCAGACGACGGGACTCCGCGTAAGACAGTCGGCCCGGCCCCGGGTGACACAGACCATGGCGGGGTGCTACGCTCCGCCTCCGGTATCAGTCAGCACCCCACTGGGACTCCAGTCTCCCCCCCCCCCTCCGCCCCCTTTCGCCATTGGCCCAACTATCAACGTTTCGAGAAAAACATGTGAAAACGGTGTGAAACTTTTTTGCTTACTTCGATGTTATGCGTAACCATTTTACCCGGCCCATAACCCATTTGGTGATCGTTTACCGAAACCATACCAATGGCAAGCAGAAGATGCCTAACGAGCATGACGACCAGTTTTGAAACGTAATGGATTAGATGAGTTGGTCAAAGTCCTCGAGAAACATGATCATGACATCGACGACCGCACTGCCAACCAACCCACATACATGTGCATACATACGCACCACCAAAGTCCGCATCAGAAACGCTCTGACTGCAATGCGGAGATCAAGCCCGGAGCAAGGAACGCCGGTGCAGTGCGAGACGATTAGTGCTGCTGGCTCATGCGTTTGATCGTGGTCCAAATCACTGTCGACTCAGAACGATAGAGCGATGCCATGACGCCGTGAAATATGGTCTGATCCAGGAAGTCCAATAGGCACGCTGGCAATCGTCCACGTTAAGTCACTGCAGTGGCATTGGCTTTCGTCGATGTTAAGTCATTAAGTCATCGCCATCGGGCCTCGCGGCCGGGCCGCGGTCCTGCCATCGGGCGTCAGGACCGAACCGCGGCCCCGCCATCGGGCCTCAGGACTGAGCCGCGGCCGCGCCATCGGCTGTAGTCCCGCCCTCACGTCGGACAAGAGAGCGATGAAAACGGCACGTAACAAGCAGAAGCTGAAGTTCTTCGTCAGCGCAGGGGCCAACACAGTTGAAGAGGTCCAATGCAGGCTGGCAGATGGGAAAGAAGGCACGGAAGTAGCGAATTACCTCATGAATATAGTACATATACTATCGTGTGAAACACGTGCATATCTCCTGCCGATACATATGTTCATGCCCATATCCATATATAGGCATGAGCATATATATGGATAACGTACCGTAAAGCAGAGCAATGTTTGATTGGTCGGTCCCATTGGCCCGTACGCTGGGCCTCTATACGTTGAACATGAGGCCAACTGCAAAACAATGGCAACCGAAATACACCCGCATTGCGCAGCCAGGAACACATTGCGTAATGGTTTCATTGATACCCTGCATTTGCCTCCGTGGGCAAATGCCCCCCCCCCCCCCCCGAAAAAAATCCGCACACAAAATAACCGTAAAACAACGGTTAGGCCCTGAGATTGGTAAAATGCTTTACCTCGCCCATCTGGTTACCGAACAATCTATAACAGCCTTCCCAACTCCACCACCAACCAATCCCACTAGCTGTTTATTTTGCAACGCAATGCATTCAATAATCCCATCCAATACCGGACCTGTCCACTCGACCAGCTTTATCCACTTTGCCAGCCCGTCCACCCTGTCGGCACATCTGCAGCAGGTATCCACTGTGAAAACGACGAGGCCAAATATCCAACCGGCCTTTCAACTCCACCGCTCCCTAAGACGACATCGTGCTGCCCTCCGAAATTCCTTCGGACGTTTTTCGTAATCACCTGTACAAAACGGTGTGAAAGCCGAAAAGTCGCTCAACAGAACACACCAGTATTGCCTCTGGAAACTCAGACATCAGCTTGCCACATCGCTGCGCTTTCGGACCGCGGCGGCCACGGGCAGGACTGTCGGGCAAACTCTCCGACTGCGGCGGCCGCGCGGCGGAACTCTCGAGCAAACTGTCCGACTGCGGCAGCCGCGCGGCGGAACTCTCGAGCACTCTCCGACTGCAGCGGCCGCGCGGCGGAACTCTCGGGCAAACTCTCCAACTGCGGCGGCCACGCGGCAGGGCCATCGGGCAAACTCTCCGACTGCAGCGGCCGCGCGGCAGAACTCTCGGGCAAACTCTCCGACTGCGGCGGCCGCGCGGCGGAACTCTCGAGCACTCTCCGACTGCAGCGGCCGCGCGGCGGAACTCTCGGGCAAACTCTCCGACTGCGGCGGCCGCGCGGCGGAACTCTCGAGCACTCTCCGACTGCAGCGGCCGCGCGGCAGAACTCTCGGGCAAACTCTCCAACTGCGGCGGCCGCGCGGCGGAACTCTCGAGCACTCTCCAACTGCAGCGGCCGCGCGGCGGAACTCTCGGGCAAACTCTCCGACTGCGGCGGCCGCGCGGCGGAACTCTCGAGCAAACTGTCCGACTGCGGCAGCCGCGCGGCGGAACTCTCGAGCACTCTCCGACTGCAGCGGCCGCGCGGCGGAACTCTCGGGCAAACTCTCCGACTGCGGCGGCCGCGCGGCGGAACTCTCGAGCAAACTGTCCGACTGCGGCAGCCGCGCGGCGGAACTCTCGAGCACTCTCCGACTGCAGCGGCCGCGCGGCGGAACTCTCGGGCAAACTCTCCAACTGCGGCGGCCACGCGGCAGGGCCATCGGGCAAACTCTCCGACTGCAGCGGCCGCGCGGCAGAACTCTCGGGCAAACTCTCCAACTGCGGCGGCCGCGCGGCAGAACTCTCGGACAAACCGTTCGCCAATGGTGGTCAACGAAAGCTCGTTGGCATGCCTACGTCAGAGAACGAGGAGCATCAGCAGCGTTTGAAACGGAAGTTTTTTTTTAGTGCTGCGCACGCTATGGAACTGGTGGGCGATTTCCCAAGATAGAGAACCGGACAAAAAAATTTATCCCCTAACAGGATATTCTTACCGCGGTCCAGCGTGAGGCATGACCACTCTTCAGGCAAATATCACTGGTTTCACACCATTTTCTGTTAATGCTCTTGATCTATATTGAGGCCCTGCGCGAAGGTACGACATGTGTACATATTTCAAATACCATGACAACAATTAAGTCGTGTCTGAAACGTTTACCAATTTCCAGCCACCGACATATCAATTCGGTCCATCCATGCGCTGTTCTTTTTTACAAATAGCAATGCAAAAACTACCTAGTAGCCAATGGCCACCATCGCAAGCGGTGGCCACGCGCGTCACTCCCACCCATCCCCGTAATAATGGCGTCCGGCCGGCGACATGACTCAGACGGTCGCCGGCGCATATCTTTCGCAGCGCGCCTGCGTCCGTGCGGCGAGCTTTATGACGTCAGAGGGCCAGGGACGGGAGCGGCGGGCGGCGGTGGCTCGGGCTGGGCCGGCAATGCACGGGGCCGTGGCCGGGTAGCCTGTGCGGGTTCGGCCAGGGCTCGTCGGCCGGCGGGTCATGCGTCAGCCGGCCAGTGATCGGGGGCACCGGACGGAAAGCGTTCGGAGACTCCGCGGACCGTCCGGAGTCGAGGCATGACGCGGTCCAGGTTGGCGCGTACTGGTACCGCGCCTATCTCGGCTGCGAGCTAGCGCGGGCTGGCACCGCTCGTGACTCAGCTCGAGAAGGGCTAAATAAAAACGGGCTGAACTTTTATTTCTGGATACGGTTTACCGATGAAGAAGTGCGGCCCATTTTGATATACCCTGGTCTTCAACCCGTGCGGCCTCGTAACATCTATGCTAAACTTCGACAAATTCCGGTATTGCCACTGACTGCTCTCAGTTTAGAAAAAAACCATAAACATCGTACAATGATTTAGAGCCTGCTTTGTCAAGTTCATTGACTTCTATTTTCCATTTCATTGGCGTGCACG